GGGGGGAACTGCGCAAAAAACGCATCCTCGTACCGGCAGCCGGTACGCTTTCTACTAGGTTTCTCTCTTCATCTCAGCTTTACCAGTGGCGCCCTGCACATAATGGGATTTGAAAATTTTTTGGTTAAAATAGTAAACCCTACAATCCTGGAGCACATGAATGCCGTCAACCAGTGTCTTAGTTTTTACAAAATTCACACTGTTTTATTGACCAAAGTGACAACTGTTAAACGATAATCCGCCAAGTGTTTCCTTAAAATCCATTTAAAAGCAGCAAACTTTTCGGAACTATCCGTCCACTTCTGGCTTACCTTCGTTACACTTGTCTCCAACCATCTATTATCCGCTGCAGTGGCTATAGCGAGCTTCCGCGAGAAATCGCCATATTGCTGGGAACGACGGTTATCTGCTCGAGCCGACGAAGTCTAAGTCAAATGACATAACTCCTTCCCTATTTTGCTCTTTATGAGAGCGGAGGTATTCGAGAAGTATCGAGTGCTAGCAAACCTCCAATGGTAAGACCGTCAGTGATATATCCTTTTTTGAGAGTTGCTTTACAAGCAAGCTGATGACTGGTTTGACTTCCTGGCACATGCTAGTACCAATTTACCATCGAAACGAATGAACGAAGCGTAGAGGGAACAGCTGCTCCATAAAATATGAATATGCAAACTACGAGATGAATCAACAATGATGCGTTACTTTATTTGGGTAAAGTTTTATTTGGCAGCAAAATCCAGAACAATCTATTCAGGAAATGAGCGCCAGTGATTTAAATTAAAGCGTTCGCATTACAACGAAACATAAAGCAGATGATAATCGCACAGATATTTACAAACACATGTGAAACGAGCCGTTCGCCAGCCTCCGACTCCGCCCAACCCGGTTCCGGAGATCTACGAAGATGCCTTCGTAGACTGACTTAATAAAAGACAATAGAAACTTCTGTTTAAGGTTTCGCTCTGCAGCATTTTCTGTGGCAATGAACACAGTCTGAGATCGTCCATGTGGACAGTGCGGGTAATTTTGATACTAGATTTGTCGACATTGAGGGCGAATGGAGGAAAAAGGAATAAAATTACGAATTGGCAGAGATATGCAACACAGAAGAAACAGGTAGAAAGGACGGAGCAAAACATAAAATCTGGACGGCTTAAGTAACAAAATGCAATATAAGGCTAATACCTCGAACGCCAGCTAATAAGCTTGCTCAGAGAGGGAGCTTAACTTTTTGCTAAGTTTAGATGAGCCTTTGGTTGCTGCGTAGGAAAAATGGAAATTTTGGCAATAATGAGCGGCAGGAGAAGTTTGTACAACTGGTGGTACTATTGCTGTATGTTAAGATGAAAAACAGCGAGCTTTAACAGCGCAATGACATATCGACCTGATCTGGGCAAGAATTTGGATAAGAAACAAGAATTTGGTAAGAAGAACAGGCTTGGCGCCCAAAGAAAGATGGCAAGAGAGCAGGAGAAGTATGGGCAAGTAGATAACACGAGAAAAAAGGAATGGTCACATCAGGAAGTGTCAAGAAACGATGGGCGATCACAGTAGATTTTACAATTAGAGAAGTGATCTGCTGTAACTACGGGGCAATTATTCCAGCAGCATTGATCTGTTTCATAAATGTCATGCGAATAAAACAATACATTTATACAGACGCATACAGGCAGATACACAAACACACATAGAGAGGTGATTTTTGATTAAGAATAAGGATTTATGTTAATGTAAGATATATCAGGACCCGTATTACTCCTACAAAAAAACGACTTAAAAATTCAAGAACACGCAAAAAATAAAAAATTAAAAAGAGAATATTTTAAAATAATTCAAATTCTATGCAAGAAATGCGAACGAAACTGTTTTTTTCACATCGCCCAGGTGAGATGCGCGATCAAGAGAGTAAAAAATGTTTGCTTGAATAACGACAAGAACCTCATTTCCCTTACACATCGATCAATTTTCCTCCCCCCCCCGCTCCCCGTCCCTCCCTTCCTTCCCTGTCTTCCTTACCCCTTCTATATAACAAATCCTCTCACTACTTTTTCAAGACCAAATTTTCACTTTCCTATGGAATATGGCGCAAAGAATACTACAGCTAGTAGTCCTTTCAAATGACGGAACGAGCGTCAGGATCGCCAGCAGCGTAAAGTAGCACTGGTCAAAGCAATTGGAAAAAGAACAAAGCTAAGATTTGCGAACGTTCAAAGTAGTGAAGTGCAAAAAAATTCCGGATTTACTAGGTCTTTTCTTCGTGCATTTTTTCCCGCAAAATATAATTTGCATATTTCTAAATGTAAATAGTGCATTCAAAAAGTGATGCGCACTACTGAGCATTAGCAAACAGCTCGTCCATAAAACTTCTTTGGAAAGAAGACGAATATTGCAATGTTTCTTTTGCTAAACTCTCTCTCCCTCTCCTTCGTTTGATATGAATAATTCAAGGGATGGATGAATCCAACAGTACTGCCGCTGCTATTATCTCTTCCTTGCTTTTTCGTTCTGTTTCGTGAGACTGTCTTCATGCTTGATTGATTGCTTCTTTTGCACTGCTTGTTTCTCGGTCTTCTCCGTTGTCTGTTGTAGCAGTTCGGAGGTTCGTGGTGCCGGAATTACCGTCATATTTGCGAGGACTCGCTTGCGAAACACATCATCTTCACCCATATTTTTCACCGCCAGCCGGTAAGCTGCGGCTAGTTTCGAGTCACTTTTTGAGAGCAAATTTATCCCGCTGGATATTCCTGAAAAAAGTCCAAGAAACTAACACTGTTGTGGAGCATACTGCACAACAGGAGTGACATTGTGGAATTTCTTACATGATCCCTGTTACTTTACAAAGGGCTGCTTTAAACCGTTGTCTACTCAAAATGCACTGGCACGGATAAGCCCAATGTTTTTTAGGATCAGTACTCCTTTCGTAAATCACTGTTACTTTACTAATTCTCTTGCAGCTATGAGACTGAGTTTCGTTTGCTTCCAAAGATAGCCCAGACAAGTTGAACGTATCAATGGCAACCACTTGGCCCCCAAAAAACGACGATGACCTATTTTTCAAAAGGTTGCTCCGATGTAAAACCGATAGCGGTCTTTTAGATTGTTCCAGTATCAATTTACCATTGAACAGAATGAACGAATCGTAGAGAGACTGGTTTTTGCAGTGGTGAAGTCGATTTCTAGGATCCTTAGCAATAAACCATCACTAAATTCTTGCACACTATGACTATCAATTTGAATAACAAATGCTATAATTTTTTTTTTTTTTTTTTTATTATTGGATGCTAAGTTACAAGGTTTGAGCAGAATTATAAACCTATTCAAAGTGTAGAAATGAATTAAATACGCAGTATATTGAAACATTAGAATATAAAGCAATAATTTTGCTAAGCATTAAGACTTTTCGGTCCACTAAGCTGCATAAGTGCACACAAAAATAACTTTCAAACAAAAAATATAAAAAAAGAGAACCTAGCTCCAAGAAAAAATGCAGCAAAAACGAAAAAATAGCAACTTACCGAAAGGCCGAAGATGATAAATGAGATATTCAAGGGCATACATATGGGCAGGGTTCACATAATGAAACGATATCGCATAATCACTACAACAGTTCGGACCCTGAAAAAGAACAAATGAGAGTTACCCTCGTGGTTTTTGTTGTCTTAAAACGCTACATCTAAAACACCGCATCCGCTTTACAAGAACATGTGATTTTCTTAGTTTCAAAATACTTTTTTTTTGGCTCAGTGACTGGCAGTGAAATAAAACTCAGGAAAAAGCGTATCGGCTGCCGGTACGAGGATGTGTTTTTTGCACAGTTCCCCCGTAGGTTTTTTTTCGCCAGTGGCACGTTCTTGCCGGCAAATGCTTCTGGTTAAAAGAATTGGGACTGGCCACCACGTCTGTTAGAAATTATTACAATGATTCCCAATCCATGTCCAAAAAATCCAACGCCCTGAATGTTTCGGTTGCAGAGTTACGTCAGATTTCACGTGTTCTCTAGCATAAAGTTAAGTGCGTTCTTTCACGTTTTTGAGTTTCTGCGCAGCAAAATGTGTTGTATTTCGTACAACAATTTCCTTAGAGAATAACTGCATCAAATCAGTCAACATCAAAAACGTTGCATAGACAGATTATGGAAGAAAAACGCTAAAAACTAGTCTGTGGGAAAAATACCTGATCAACGGGATAATATGTATACTGCCAGAACCAGAACTTCTTATCCACATGTCCCGGCGTCAAATGGTGCTCTGGCACAAACGGGAAAAACCTAAAACAATCTACCAAATAAAATTTTCTAGCCGGCCCATTCCCCGTCCCTGACACTCCATCAGTTAGGAAAACTGGAACGGGGTCCCACATTTAGTACCAATTAGATCAAGCTGCGAACCAAAGGATTCCCCTTTTCCAGTTTCGTCACCCTTCCCTGACCTCATCCCACCCTTTTCTGACTTTTCTACTTTCATTTCACCAAGATCACTGAAACAATCCAGATAATCGGTATAGGGAGCCCATGTTAGTGATATTATTGGAATACTCCAGTAAGCCGGAAGCAGTTACGTCATTTTTCTCGATCCTGGGCTGTATGTCTCATACCGCCTATTCTGTGTATTTGCGCCATCTCTTCAAAAACTGACGGAACAGTTGCTTATTCTCTCACAGATATTACTTAATGACATTGCTCTTACAGTTAAATAAAAAAGAATACCTATGATGACCTTCCGAATCTCGTGAGTCGCCTGCCAAAACGCCAACTCTCTCTAAACATTTCCCAATTTCAGCATCTTCTGCACCACTTTCGCTTTTTTTGCATTTCTTCGGGTCCTAAAAATATCAAAACCTGAGTGCACCCCAATTAACCTGTTCGAAAGCAAGCCTCAGAAAGTGAGCCGCAAATAATGATAGCTTTGCTATATATCGGATAGTCGCTATTGGCACTTGCTACCATTTGGACTAATTCAGAATGCTGAGCCTTCAATAAGAACAAACATTTTAACTGCATATTTCTTAGGCGCAACGATATAATTTACTCCAATTTGATCGGTATGATTTTACTGACATGCTCCAAAAAAAAAAAAGTCGGATAATTACGAAGGCCAGTTGCTCACAAATGAGGTAAAGTGACCACTTTTCCTCTGCCTTTTTTCATTCAGTGAATCCAGCGCATATCGCTAACTCTGTTGCTAGATGCCTTGTATATGTTATTGTCAAGGCACGTTAATGAACAATCATTCTGACTACCCATTTAATCATCAAAATCGATGTTATTCCACTGTTTATGGGCTTGAAGCTTGAGTCAAAAATAGTCAGTCCATTCCAGATATGTTATTTTTAGTTCATTTATAAATTTTTCTAATTTTAACTGTTTTTTTTTTTTTTTGCATACTAAAGCAACTGTAGCATTCAGATTTTCACAAAACAACTGTTTTCACAACGTAAGAAGTCATACCTCCTCAGCCCGCTACTAAATATTTAACGAATTGCTCTTTCTCGGAAAGGACTAACTGGAAGCGCTTCAGTGACGAATTTCCTGAGAGCTTCTCTGGAGAGCACATAACCCGCTCCGCCACTCATATATCCTTGTTTGGTGAATGGCTTGAATTTGCAACCAAACCAAATCGGTTCATCTGGATCATGCGCCAGTAACATGAATCTGAAAAAAAGAAAAAACACGAAATTTATGTCCTTACTATCCAAAGCTTCCTGTCTTCCTCAATCGCCCTTTCCCTACGTCCAATCATGCACGAAATGACAACTTGCAACTAATTAAATCAAAACTTTAGTTTGCAACTAAAACTAATGCCTAATCAAGTCAGCTAAGTTTACCCATCTCCCGAAATTAGCAACCAGTGGACGTCACATACCAGCAAATAGTACTTGCGAATAAAAATCACTTGGTTTCGCAAAAACATCGAAAAAGTGGTAAACACTAACTGGAGGCATGCAGCTTAGAATCGAATAATCTGGCTCTACAGTGTTGGATTTGTGACCACGTTCCAGTAACATTACCTGCTGAATTGTTTAGACCGTCTCAAGAATGAATGAGGGAGCAATTTACCCGGAAAATATCACCCGCTTCCTAAATGCCACATCCCTAATATCCTTGGCCATAGCCCTGCACCCTAACGTCGGCACATTTTCCAGATATTCACATGCACAGAGTAAATACGGAAAAGGTTTTACGTTTGATTATCAGTTAGACGAGTGGTAAAAAGTGCCAACGGCAACCATTCGTTCATAAGGCTGCCGATTACCCTCTTTTTTCACAGTTTGCTTAATGATATGCTGGTGGCGAATTTGGCTCCCTGGCGTACGTCAGCGCCAATTCATCATCGAAATGAATGGAAGAATCTCAGAGAAACTGTTTACAGCAACGGCGGAGTCGAATTTTCGATCTATTGTATGCTAACAGTACAACCTACTTCCCACTGCGCAATGTTTGCCGAGAAAAAATTCAACGGGTTAAAGCATAATAAAAGAAAACTGTACTAGAAGTTTTCATTACACTGTTGCCCAGTTTTCATTGTACTGTTGCTCATTATACTTTAACTCTAAATTTCGTGCAAAATTTAATCAATTAACACACCGCTAGAGATCTCCGTCAAAAACAAAAAAACTCTTATTACATGAATCCCAGATCCTTACAGACTAACATGTTAATTTCCGACGAATTTTCCATTGTTGCCAATATTATTCAAACCTCACACGATTTACTAATTCAATTTCATATATTATATTTGTTGCTATGGAGAAAAAAATGCAAAGAGCTACAGCACCGCTATCACTGAGGATTTTAATTTCTCCCACCCTCTCCTCTCCACCTCGCTGGATAATCACTTCAATAAGTTATAGACAGCAAGCTGTAAACTATAAAGCTGCATACAGTGATAAATGATAACTTATCGGAGAGAGAGCGAGAGAGA